CGGCACGGGCAGGGCCCGAGGTCCTTTCCGCCGGGCTCTCGCTGGCGCCCTTCTGTTCAGCCGGGCACCGCGTTCCGTGCGCCTGGTGCGGATCTGCCGAGGCCGCCATCCCCGGGCGGCTCAGGTGCGGGAGAGCCGAACAGAGTGGGGGGACAGCCACGTTCTCTCCTCCCGCGCATCCTGTCCGAACGCAGTGCCCCTGCGACGGCCCCCGAGACTCCCGATGGGGGTCGTTCTGGGTGTCGCCGGGCGTTGTGTGGCTCACTTACCTAGATGTGCGGGACCTTCTGGGGTGTGAATTGGGAAACAGACGTTTTAAGTAGGCCTTTGGAAATTAAAAAAAAAAAAAAAAGATACTGAGTATGGAGGAGCCATTGTTGGGATGTGAGCCGCCCACGTGCGGTTGATTGGTCTCAATAAAACGGTAAGGCATCGTCATTTCAATTCGGATTCCTGCCTTGGACTAATTTGTTCAGGGCTTCTTTAAAAAAATATATGTTTGTATTGATTTTGAGAGAGAGAGGAAGGGAGAAGGAGAGAGAAATAGAAACATCATCGATGGGCTGCCTCCTGCATGTCCCCTACTGGGGAGGAAGCCTGCAGCCTGGGCATGTGCCCTGACCGGAAGTCAAAGGTGACCTCACTGTTCGTGGGTCGCTGCTCAACCATCGAGCCACACCCCCCGGGCTGTTTAGATCTTTCTAATGACAATTTGAAATAGCCCAAATTTTTAAAAAATGAAAAGTCCTTTTTCCTTTTTATTCACTGCGGAATAGATTTCCATTTTCTTTGTCTTCAGGGACTATTTAAATAGTATTAGAATTGAGAGGACTGCATCCTCTCCTATTAAGTTTTTTTCTGAGGCGCTGCTCCTTGGCTTGCAGATGTCTCCCTTGTGTTTTCACATACCTTCTCTGTGTACAGACATGTCTCTTTCCTTAAAAAAAAAATTGAGAGAGAAGAGTGAGGAAGAGAAAGACAGAGATGGATTTGCTGTTCCACTTATTTATGCATTCATTGGCTGAGTCTTGTATGTGCCCTGACCCGAGATCAAACTGCAACCCAGGCACATTGGGATGACACTCTAACCAACTGAGCCACCTGGCCAGGGTCTGCACATCATTCTTTTTAAATGCCACCTGGTGTTCCTTTGTGTGACCATATCAATCTACCAAACCGGCCCTTAGTAATGGACATTTTAGGTTGTTCTATTAGTTTGGGCTGCTATAATGAAAATACCATAATCTGGGTAGCTTATAAACAGAAATTTATTTCTTACAATTCTAGAGGCCGGAAGTCCAAGGTCAAGGTGCCAACAGATTTGATGTCTGGTGAAGGCTTGCATTCTGGTTCATAGATGGCACCTTCTCCCAGTGTCCTCATTTGGTAGAAGTGGACAAGGGGGCTCTGTGGGCTTTTTTAAGGGCACTAATCATATTCATGAGGGCTCCACCCTCATACCCCAAGCATCTCCCTGAAGCCCCACCTCCTAATGTCATCATAGCAGGGGTTAGGATTTCAATATATGAATTTTGGGGGGGACACAAACATTCAGACCATAGTAGGTTTCTGTTTTTCACTGTTCTATGCTGCTGTGAATATTCTTGTGTGTCTTTGTGTACTTGGGCAATAATTCAGTAGGATACATTCCTGGAAGAGGTCCTCTGATCAAATTGGCCTCTGGAAAAGTTGTACAGGTCTATATTTATGCCAATAATACATGAGTTGCTTTTGTTCAATATTGTGTGAAAGGTAAGAGAGCAGAGTGACAAAGAGCTCAGGGTCTGGATTCAGAACCCTGCATTCGAATCTTAGCTCTCCAACCCCTTCACTGTGTGCCCTTGGTCAAGGAGCTCTCTGGCAGTGATAACACAGGCCACTACAGGCAGCAGCCAGACAGGAAGGAAGCTTCGGGGAACAGATGGGACCCAAAGAGGGTGCAGGTCTATCCTTTCACCCTCACTGAATTTCATCTCCTTTTGATAGGACATGGCATTAAAAACCCACCAACTCCTGTTCTCAGAGGGCTGAAACTTTCATTGCATTAATAAAAATTACAGCAAACACTGAGCCCAGCACTGCCCTAGATACATATGTATCATTGAGTACTATAATTATTATCACTATCTCCATTTTTACAGATGAAAAAGGTTGAGGTGATATTTTAAAACAATGTAGCAGAAGGATTTCGACTAGACAATCACTTTGGCCTTGGCAAAGAGTGAGTGGGAGTGTTATATTTCATATATATGTTTATTTTATTTGTTTAAATATATTTTATTGATTTTTCACAGAGAGGAATGGAGAGGGATAGAGAATTAGAAACATCGATGAGAGAGAAACATTGATCAGCTGCCTCCTGCAAACTCCCCACTGGGTATGTGCCCTTAACCAAGGTACATGCCCTTGACCGGAATCGAATCTGGGACCCTTGAGTCCGCCGGCCTACGCTCTATCCACTGAACCAAACCAGTTAGGGCCATATATATTTTTTAAATGTTTTTATTTCAGGGAGAGGGATGAGAGGGAGAGAGAGAGAGAAACATCGATGATGAGAGAAACATGGATTGGCTGCCTCCTTCAAGTCTCCTACTGGGGACTGAACCTGCAACCTGGACATGTGCCCTGACAGGAATCGAACCAGCCACCTCCATGTGCATGGGACGACATTCAACCAACTGAGCCCAACAAAGGCTGGGCTATATTTTTTTATGAGAGAATCCTAGAAATGAAATTGCAGATTTAAAGGGAATACCTTGCATTTTGATAATACTACAGTTTGCCCTGCAAAGAGCTTGAATGAACAGTGGAGAGTCTGTTTTAAAAATTTCTTGGACTCAAATCTCTCCCATTGCTAACTACACAGGTAACTCACTTCTCTTTGTAAAAGGACAGCTACATTTGTTGCCTGATCCAGGTGGAGAAACGAAGGACATTGCCAGGGAAAGTCTACACCCTAAAGGAATGGTAACAGACCCAGGTGAACCATTTCTTATTCTCTGGATAGCATTACGTCTCGCAGTTTGATTATGTCCCATACTGAAATTACTCTCTTCAGGAATAGCAGGCAGTGAGGCTGCAGCAATCACAGTCATACCTTCATGCCACATGTGCGCAGATCCATTGTCTTTAGAGCAGGCGAGATGATGCCAAGGGCTGCTTTTGAAAGCACCAGAAAGTTGCAAGCTCCTCTGAAAGGCAGGGGTCCTGCATATACTAGATGCAGCCCCTGCTGTGTTCCAGTGATTTTAAGAAACCACCAGCACAGAAAGTCTTACAGCCATTTTCAACGTTGATGGAAAATTTGGTTTTAGTTGGTTGTCCCAGAACTGAAACTTGAATCAGAACAAATTGATCAAGAATAACAAGGAACTGCCCTGGCCAGTTTGGCTCAGTGGATAGAGCATCGGCCTGCGGACTGAAAGGTCCCAGGTTCGATTCTGGTCAAGGGCATGTACCTTGGTTGTGGGCACATCCCCAGTAGGAGGTGTGCAGGAGGCAGCTGATCGATGTTTCTCTCTCATCAATGTTTCTAACTCTATCCCTCTCCCTTCCACTCTATAAAAAAATCATTAAGAAAAAAGAAAAAAAAAAAAGAATAGCAAGGAACAATCTGATATTCCAGAAGTTCACCAGTAATTTTTAAAGTCACAGGATGCCAAGCTAGCTTTTGCCACATTGAGGAATACTTCCTTGCTGCTTCATGCTGATGTCCACAGCTGGGAACAGAGGGTAAAGTGTTTCTGTAATTCAAATCCCTGACCTTTCAGAGTTTTATTTCTCTCTTTATTTTATTCCTGATATCAGTAGATTTTCTTTTACCTTGACTTGTATGTGTCTATGTATTCGGTTATACTGAGGAAATTAAGGATTTTTTTTCAACTACCACATTGAATGATAAATCCACAGGATTACTATATCTTAAAAAAATTTAAAGAGCATTTATAATATGTCTTCTTATTCACCAAATGTACTTTATGTTCAAATATGATTGTTACCATCTTTCCCTGGTTACTAAAAAATAATAATAATAATAAAATAATAGCTAGATGTAAATGTATTGAAAGTATGTGTGTTTTTAGCAGGCATTTTTGAGTACCCACTATGTGCTTGACATTGGGGACACTCAGCTTTCCATCATTGGGCACACATATTAGAATTAGCTATTTCCAGTTTAATGGAGGAACAGAATTCCTTTCCTATAGTGAAATAATTTTATATGACGTGTGTATTAAGGTTCTCCAGAGAAACAGAAACAATAGGAGATGATACAAACATGGATACATAGATATAGATATGAGATTTAGTATAAGGAATTGGCTTGTGAGATTATGGAGGCTGAGTGGTCCCAAGATCTGAAGTCGGCAAGCTGGAGACCTAGGAAAACTAATGATATCCAGGTCAAGTTCAAAGGCTTGAAAGCCAGGAGAGTTAGTGGTTAGTGTAAGTTCTAGTCCTAATTGGAGTCCTAAGGCAGGAGAAGACCCATGTTCCAGCTCAAAGATGCTTAGACAGTGAGAACGAATTCTCCCTTGCTCAGCCTCTTATTCTATTCAGGCCTTCAGTGGATTGGGTGAGGCTCACTCATTTTGGGAAAGGCAATCTTCTTTACTCAGTCTCCTGATTCAAATGTTAATCTCATCCAGAAACACCCTCACAGATACACCCAGAACATTGTTAACCACATATCTGGGCACCCATGGTCCAGTCAAGTTGACACATACAATTAATAATCACAAAATGTCATGGGATTTTATGATGACTGTCACTAGCTAAGAGAACAAATTGTTCAGTATTTTCCTAAATTTAAGTAAAATATAAATATCTGATTTTTTTTTTTTTTAAAAAAAGCAGCCCACATATAAAAACTAAATTGGACATTTGGCATTATCACTGTTTGGGGTTGGCAAGATAGTAGAGTGGAAAAATTGTGAAGTTAGACAAACCAAAGTTTGAATCCCATTTCTGTTGCTTATTAGCTTTGGTTCTTGGGCAAGTTACTTGTCTGAACTGTAATTTTGTGATTTGTTTGAAAATCAAAGAAACCTACTTCATGGTGGTGGTTAGAAAAAATGTATATAAAATGTTTGGGACACAGTAAATAGTCAATAAATAAAAGTAGTCGTTTGAAAGTTGATCATAAGTGATGCTATATAAACCATTTTGTCAAAAAGAGTCTTTGTCCTTTAGCGATTTGATGATTTTTCATTAACTGATGGCGGTGACAGTTTTCAGTCATCTCAGTATGTATAACAGTGTCCTGGAGACATAGTTACTCACTAGTTTTCTCTCTCTCGTTCTTTTGATAGAGTTAAATTAGAAGAGCGAGAAGTCGCTGAGAATCCTGTGGTAGTCAGTAATGGTGATAGTACTCACTTCTTACCTAGAAAAGCAAAGAAGCGGTCATTTAAGTTGGAGGAGGATGAAGAAACTGATTACAGAAATTCAAAGAAGCATTGGAAGAGGCGAGAGAACAACAACGAGAACACTTCGGATCCAGAACCAAAAGCGGTCACAGATCAGAGTGGGAGGGGAAGAAACAAGAGGAAACACAAAGCCACACTTGATGTAGTAGATGAGGATGACAAAGAGACGAAAAGAAAATCACCAAAGAAGAAGGAGAAACGTGCATATAGAAAACAGACGAAGAATCCCAAGTCTTCTAAAGCACAGACAGCGAAAGAGTGGACTGTCCAGAAGTGTAGTCCTCCCAAAGGTTCTGCTCGAAAAAGCCTTGTTAAAACCAAGAGGAAAGGTGGCGTGGACGTCCGTGCAAAAGGTAGTCCCAGTTCCTCCTCAGAGTCTGAGTCTTGTCATGATTCAGCCAGCGAACATTTGAGCAATGTCATCTTGGAGATCAGAAAGTCCTCAGAGAAAGTGTCAACTGCATCAAAGGAAGGGCCCTCTATAAACACAACTGCAAACAAAGTAGCTACAAAAATTGCCTTTAACTCTGCCCCCATCGAGGACAAGACAACCAGAACCTCAGACTCCAGTTCAGACTCCAGTTCAGATTCAGATGACCAAAGCGAGGCGTCAAAGAGTTCCCTGGAGAAGACTGTGGGGCCCTTAAAGCCAGTAGGCCTGTTTGCAGGCAGAGGTCGTCCAGGTCTGGGGCCTTCATCACAGACTCTAAATGCTACTGGATGGAGGAACTCTGACTCAAATGGTGGCAGGCAGACTCCTCCTGGTCCTCCCAACGTGACTCTCCCTACCAGTTTGGGAAGAGGTTGGGGTAGAGGAGAGGACCTTCTTTCTTGGAAGGGAGTTAGGGGTCGGGGCGCGCGGGGGAGAGGTCGAGGACGAGGACTTGCTGTTCCCCTTGTTTTAAATAGAGACGCTGAATATGAGAAGCAGCAGCATTTAAATGAAACAGTAACAAACTCATCTACTATTATCCAGGCAAGTAGTCTTTATTGTGAGTTTACCACTTCCCCTTTCCCCACAGAGTGTGTCTGGAGTTGATGTCATCGGTTCACATTTTCTCACCAGTAACAGAGTCACATAACTAATAAGTACTGTTTTTCAGAATCCCGTACGGACACCCAAGAAGGACTACAGTCTGTTACCACTGTTAGCAGCTGCCCCCCAAATTGGAGAGAAGATTGCATTTAAGGTATGTTTTAAAACAACAATTACTACAAAAAGATTGTTCTCCCTCCAAGAAAAATTACTTGTTAGAGTATGTACGTAAATAAACAGACATCTGTATACATACGCATACGCATGGGTACATATGTATGTATGTGTGTGTGTATATGTATTCACACACGCACACACACACACACACCCTTCCCGCCCAGATCATATCTTTCATGTTCTCATGCTTAGTGTGTAATAGGTGCCAGTAATTGTTTTCTAAATGAATAAAAATGGCTTAGGCTAGTGTCTAGAACATAGCAAGTGCTCAATAAAAGAAAGCCATACATATCACCCCTTTCCCCAAAACACTGGAACCCCTGTTTTGCTGCAGATTTGTGGTCAGGCTGTGTGTTTTCTCAGAGATAGGGACCACGGGACTTATGTACTAGTATTTGTGGACTTTCATTCTTTCTTTTTTTAGCTTTTGGAACTAACACCTGATTATTCGCCTGATGTCTCTGACTACAAGGTAAGACTTTTTATTTAAAAACTAGAGGCCCAGTGCACGAATTCGTGCACCAGTGGGGTTCCTCATCCTGGCCTGTGGGATCAGGCCGAAACCAGCTCTCTGACATCCCCCGAGAGGTCCCAGATTACAAGAGGGTGCAGGCTAGGCTGAGGGACCCCACCGGTGCACCATTGGGGCCGGGGAGAGACAGTGGGAGGTTGGCAGAGGGACAGAGAGCCAGAAAGATCGATGAGAGATAAACATCAATCAGCTGCCTCCTGCACATCTCCTACTGGAGATGTGCCCGCAACCCAGGCACATGCCCTTGACCGGAATCGAACCTGGGACCTTTCAGTCCGCAAGCCGACGCTCTATCCACTGAGCCAAACCGGTTTCGGCTATGCTTTTATTATATAGGATAATTGTCAATATATTAAAGAAGCTGAAGTCATATTTAATATTGCTGGTATGGATAATGCAGATATTTTTGAGTAAACAATGCTGTAAAGTAAAAAATAAAAACATTACCGAACTGTAAACTTTTTAATAACATCACTGTGAAGTCTCCTAGTGTTGTTTTCCTTACACTTGGGAAGAATATAGAATGAGAATAATGAATTTAATTATTTTTATTCAATTTTTAAAAATTAGCTTAGACACACAGGCTTATTTGAGTACTCTTCCCTCATATCCTAAACTTTGAAAGAAAATAATAAATAGCTCTCAGCCAGAAAATTGTGTTGTTTTCATCATAGGAATATATTTTACATATTTGTGAATTACTGGAAGGAAATGTAAACAGACCTGTCTTGGGCAAATCAAAATGTTTTGTCACCCTACATAAGCAACTAATTTAATTCTGTGATATATGAGGAAATGGGAATAAATATAGAATCAATACATTTCATAACTCTACACACTGTGATTCTATATGTTATTAAAATTCACATTAAGTGGATGTTAGTCATCATCATAGTTATTACCTTGGAAAGCTATTTACTTACTTTATTTCCTAGTAGTTTTAGAACTTTTTTGAGATTGCTTTCAAAACCATTTTGAGGCAGAAAATTAGTCCCACTTTTTTGCTTTAACCACAAGTTCTGTTACCTGCTTGATCGCCGGCTTCCTGCACGTTCCCTGACCGGCTGGGGATGGAACCTGTAACCGAGGTACTGCCCTTGACTAGGAATTGAACCCAAGACCCTTCAGTTCGCCAGCTGATGCTCCAGCCACTGAGCCAAACCGACCAAGGCAGATCGCTGACTTATTTATTAAGCTTGCCTTCAAAACTCAAATCTCCCTGCTACTATATTTTTTTTATATATTTTTAATCCTCACTGGAGGATATTTTTGAGAGAGAGAGAGAGAGAGAGAGAAACTTCAATATGAGCGAGACACATCAACTGGTTGCTTCCTGCACGTTCCCTGACTGGCTGGGATGGAAACTGTAACCGAGGTACTGCCCTTGACTGGGAATTTATTAAGCTTGCCTTTAAAACTCAAATCTCCCTGCCGCATTTGTACCCATAGGATTTGAATTTATGGAGGTGGCTGAGGGAGCCAATGCTATTGAAAGAGGAACTTATTACTTACATTTCCCAGGAGGAAGGGCAATGCCACACCCTGCCGTGACGCAGAGGAAATCACCTGGGTGTAGTAAGGAGGCAGAAGCAGGAGTGAGGAGAGAGCCTTTACTGGGGTCTCCTGGGGATAGACTGGCAGGGTGCAGGAAACAATTTAGGATTGGCTCATTTCAATAAGGAGTAGGCTTTGGTCTGTAGGGACTATTCCTCGTGTGGTACCTGACCCTGGGGTGATTAAGATAAGGGAAAATAGTGGCTTGTTGTGTGGGAGTATCATTTACCCTACATGCTGATTTAACAAATTTTTTTTTTATTGAGATAAAATTCATATAACATAAAATCCACAGTTTAAACCAGTGGTCTGCAGACCACAGGTGGTCTGTGAGGTCCGAAAGGTTGGCAACTGCTGGTTTAAACCATTTTAAAGTGTACAATTCAGTGGTTCTAATATATTCGTAATGTTTTGTGTATTGATTTTTGACTTCAACTTTTATTTTTGAAAGGAAGGAAAAATATTGAACCACAATCCAGAGACCCAGCAAGTAGATATAGAAATCCTTTCATCCACACCTGGTGAGTCTAGAAAAGAATTTGAAAATGTAGGCTTTTCATATCTCATTGGTTTCTAAATAGCTGTGCACACAGGAGCTGCTGTCTTCATTGGCCCCATGATTAACTGGCGCTCTCCACCACCTCTGTCAGCACAGAACAGCCCAGGCCTGAGCCCCACTGGTGGAGTAGAGTGTCCACTAAGAGTTATTGGATTTTTTCCCCCAAAGCTTTTAGGCAAGTTGTTCTTACTACTGTCATTATGTAATTTCATAAAAATTACATAAACCGATGAAAATTGATTTCAGAAAAAGAATCTACACTAATAAAAGAGAAAGATGCAAATCGACCATACCTTCATGACACCCACCAGCCAATCAGGAGTGAGTATGCAAATTAACCCAACAAAGATGCCAGGTTAATTTGCATACACAGGCACAGAGCGGCTGGGAGCAGGACACATGCGTCGTCGCCATGGCGACAACACAGGCATTCTGCCCTGCCCCAGCCTCTCGGGGCCTCTGGGCAGCATGGGAAGGCGGAAAGGCGGTTCCAGGCCGGAGCCAAGGTGGTGCCAGCAGCCAGGGGAAGGAAGGCCCATTCTTGCACGAATCTTTGTGCATTGGGCCTCTAGTTCTTTTTATAAAACCTAAGTTGAATGCTGATGCAGAAGTGTGGCTAAAAAACTTGCCATTAAGTTTTGTGTGGATGGGTCAGCTTTATAAGAGATTGGGAGGAATTTAAAAATCTGGGAAGCTTTTGCACTTAAATTGCCTTGCTAGTTTTTTGCATTCTTTCATCACTTAAAAAAAACCCAAAACTGGAAATTATGTAAATTTCAGGCATACATTAAGGATATGATTTATAAAAGAAAGCTCTAGTTGGTGGGCTCATAAGATCTGTTCAGCTCTATTTCAGAAGATTGGCAAATGAACACATTTGTGTTGTTAAATCAAAATAAAGTATCTAAAATATTTGCGTATACACAGTCCACACATTATCCTGCCTTATCTCTGATTCACACTGTTCATTATTGGTTCTGAAATCCTGGAATGAGAGGGCTTTTACTGTATATGGCTTAACTTGTGTTATGTTGTAGGGCCCCTGGCCAGAGACCAGGGGAGATCCCCTTTTCTTTAGCAGACCCTAAAGCAATTAGTTTCTGTTTGTGTTTAAAGAAGGTAGTAATGTAATCAAAACTCCAGTACACAGAAGTTAGTCAAAAGGGTTTTGTTAATCCTCACCCAAGGACATTTTTTCCATTGCTTTCAGAGAGAGTGGGAGGGAAGGATGGAGGGAGGGGGAGAAAGAGAGAGGAGAGAGAAAGAGAGTAATAGCTGTGTGAGAGAGACACATTGATTTGTTGCCTCCTGCATGCTCCCTGACTAGGGCCGGGGATCAAACCTGCAACCCAGCCCTGCGGGTGTTTCTCAGTGGTTGAGCGTCGACCTATGAACCAGGAGATTACAGTTCGATTCCTGGTTAGGGCACATGCCCAGGTTGTGGGTTCAGTCCCCAGTAGGGGACATGCAAGGAGGCAGCCAATCGATGATTCTCTCTCATCATTGATGTTTCTGTCTGCCTCTCTCTCTCTCTCCCTTTCTCTCTGAAATCAATAATAAAAACAAACAAAAAAAAACACCCTGTAACCCAAGTATGTGTCCTGGACCGGGCATCGAACCTATGATCCTTAGATGTGCAGGCTGACAGTCTAACCACTGAGCAACACTAGCCAGAGCCAAAAAGGGTTTTTCAACAAAGTCTCTTCAGGCTATTAAGTAAATGATTAGATGTAACCTGGTTTCCCAGCTTTATTCTGATAAGGTTTCATTTGAAGAAATCCCCCTTCTTAAGAATGGTGGACAAAGAAATTTGTCCATGGTCAAGCTCCATGGGCAAGGCTAGATCACTGCTCGTCAGGTGATTGACAGTGATGATATCTAATTAAAACTTTTCTTCTGGGCAACAAGGAATGGCTTTATCTGTTTTCCAATAGAAGTACTCATAGTCCTTGCTTTGCATGGTTCTGATATCCATGCACTTCAGTTACCCTGGTTTAGTTAACACCACCAGTCCCTCAGTGACATTGAGTATATTAATGAGAGTAATTGCATAAGGTGCTGCCAGCTCTTTAGTCCACAAGTCACTACATAATAACAGATGCCCATCATGACCGGTGACCAACCACTTCTTTCAGTCTTGGTTATTGGTCACTGTGCTTCTGTTACTCATTTTCCATAGACACAGCAAGGTGTGTGCCTTTGCTGCTCCCTGGTCCCTCAGTGATAAACCCACATGACACTTACAAAATGGGTAGTTGAAATAGGGAGTTGGTCAACAAAGATGAAAGCATAACAAAGAAGCAAACAGTGGCATCCAAATCAAGTTTAAGTGAGATTGTAGAAAGAATAGCTAGCCATAGGAATGGTGATGCTGCGGTTTATATGAACTTCTTGACATAAATGAGGAAGGTATTGGTGATGAAAGAGATGAAGGTGTCCCAGAAGTGATATTGGCCAAAAATTTCCCAAACTCTCAGAGCTATTTCATGACATTAAAAGCTCAAGGAATAAAGTATTGAAAGCTGATCCAAACTTAGAAGTGAGTGTGACAGTTCTGCAAGTAATAGAAAAGATTCTCTCTATCATTGTTGCCTGACAAGAAGGTAAGTACTCTTCAAACTACCCTTGTTAAGAATATTACAAAGAAGCCGTGTGCTTCAATTCTCAGTGTTTCTAGTGTTTTAAATTATAATATGCTCCATAAATATTAGAATTACGTCTTTTCATTTCCTTATATAATAAAGATTTTAATGTTTTGACAGAATTTTTTAAAGATTGTGAAACAATCATCATTTTCCCTGTGAAAGTCCATGGCCAGCATGGCTTTTGGGGTTCAAATGCTTGGAGGTAGAGCTGAGGCACAAATGACACACAAGACGAAATATTAATTTTGATACCAGGGAAAACCAGAGGCAAACTCGACCATAGCAGTCAAGTTCTCACTGAGTCTCCGTTCCCAGCTGCTTTTATTTACTAGAATACACAATTGCCTTTTAGGAATGCAAACAGACATATCAATGGTAATGTTTAGTAAACAGTAAGATTGTCAGGTTTGGGGGGAGTTTGCTTTAGGCCATTGAGTCAGCAGCAAGTATAAAATGTAAATATTCACCCTATGAATATCAAAAGGAGTACTGGCTAGCCTTCTGCCAGACGCCTCACATTTATAATATTTACTGTTGATCTTGGTTTCCAGCATTTCCCCATTGATTATTTTATTGTTTTTTGTGATTTCAGCCTACACAGTCATTTTTAGGGCCCCACACTACCTTGCAAAGTGAGACTGCTATATTACTAAGTAGCAAGCATGTGTAATTTCTGAGGACATAGCAAGATAGAAGTATTTAGCAGAATTCAGATTACCTTCCCTTGTTGAAACCTATCAGTTACCTTTTGGGATTACCTTGTGGTTGTACATTCTTTTCTGGGAGTACGAGCGATAGTGTGTCAAGCTCGTTTCTTTTTGATGAAGGAAATATCGTCCCTGAAGGAAGACCAAGAAGCTCCCGTCTGCTGGTGCAGGCTTTTCTCAGGGTCTCCTGTCACGGAGCACTCCATGCTCGCATGTGCATAGCCAGCCTCCACATCAATGCAGTTTGTTTGTGATGGTTTTTCTAATGATGTAAATGGCCTGTCGAAGAATGTTTTCACTACTGGGAAGTGACTTATTATCTCTCTCCCTACCATCTAGTTTCACCCATAAAAGAACCTGGGAAATTCGATTTAGTTTATCACAACGAAAATGGATCTGAGGTTGTGGAGTACGCTGTGACACAGGAGAGAAAGGTAGGCGTGCTTCTCTTCTTGGGATTGCTGAGTTATCCATTCTCTCTCGACTGATTACTGGTGGTCTGTCTGAAAGACTTTGCAGCTTGCTGAACTGCCTATATTAAAATCATGAAGGAGCCCAGATAGTGTGGCTCAGTGGCTGAGCATGGACCAGGAAGTCAGAGTTTGATTCCCAGTCAGGCCACATGCTCAGGTTGCAGGCTTGATCCCCAGTGTGGGGCATGCAGAAGGCAGCCAATCGATGATTCTCATAATTAATGTTTCTATCTCTCTCCTCCCTTCCTCTCTCTGAAATCAATGAAAACATTTTTAAAAATTAAAAAAATAAAATCATAAAGGATCTCGGTCTTGAGGATGTCCGTTCTGCCTACAAGGTGGCATATCAATGCCAAGTGTCCAGTTAGGGCATCATCTTGGACCTTGAAGAGCCTCTATGACAAGATGCACAGAGTCTAGATTTGCATAGTCATCTCTATGTATGAAAGCCTAAGCAACTTAACAACTGGAATGATCGGTTGACCAGTCGCTATGACACACACTGACCACCAGGGAGCAGACGCTCAAGGCAGGAGCTGCCCCCTGGTGGTCAGTATGCTCCCACAGCCTGGTGGTCAGTGTGCTCCCACAGCCAACCTCTCCCTCCCCCACCTGCCAACCTCCCACGGTCCCTTCCCCGTGCCAGACGGCCCCCCTGATAGGCCTTGATCACCAGCTAGGCTGAGTGACCTACCCATGCACGGTGCACCGGGCCTCTAGTAGTATGTAAGGTTACATAAGGATTTCAATACAAAAGACTAGCATATCATAAAAGTCTCTTATAGGTTCAGAAAAGTGCATATAAATATAGCTGGAATGATTTTCACACATGAACATACTCATGTAACCGGCACCGAGATCAAGAACATTAGCAGTCCCCTCTGGAAATCTCCATCAAGTCTCCTTGTAGTCACTGCTACCTTTCAGACATTGCTTAAAAACAGCAAGTTTGGTTTTGAAGAATGACATAAAATGATGGTTCTGTCTTTTGACTTTGTTTAAACCCTTAAATTGCCATTTTAGGAAGTATATGTTTTAGAACTTTTTAGGCAGCCAGACTAGTTGCTGGCAATGGATGGTTCATTAGGTTTTGCTAGCATTAAAGGAAATAGAATTTAAATATAAGATGTTTATATTTTAAACTAGAGGCTTGATGCATGAAAATTTGTGCAAGAGTAGGCCTTCCTTCCCCTGGCTGCCGGCACCGGCTTCCCTTCTCCAGCCTCAGCAGATACCCTGGACCTGGGCTTCCCTCCCTCTGGCCAGCCGCAGGTACCTGGGACGGTGGGCGGCTTCTCCCAGCCCGGGCCTGGCTTTGTCAGGAAGGACGTCCGGAAGACATCCAATCTATCCAGTCAAATTAGCATATTACTCTTTTATTAGTATAGACTAGCGACCTGGTGCACAAAAATTTGTGCACTAGGGGGGGTCCCTCAGCCCGGCCTGTGCCCTCTCGCAGTCTGGGACCCCTCAGGTGATGACCACCTGCTGGCTTAGGCCCGCTCCCCAGGGGATTAGGACTAAGCTGGCAGTCAGACATCCCTCTGGCAGCTGGGGAGCTTTTAGGGGGATGTCGGACTGCGGCTTAGGCCTGCTCCCCCTAAGTCCCACCGCCCAGGTCTGCACATGGGGCCCGGATGGCAGCTCGCACTGTCCCGCCCTGCCTGCAGTATGCAAATTAGCTGTCATCTTTGTTGGCGGTTATTTTGCATATCGCGCTGATTAGCTAATGGGAGGTGTAGTAAAAGTGCAGTCTAATACCATCTTTGTCAGGGGGTCCTGCTGGTGTGCCTGGCCAGTCTGGGTGAGTTGCTGATGGCTGTTTGCAGGTTGGCCAGGGCCCCCAGTCACCCAAGCTCCCAGTGGAGGCTGTCTGGAAGTAAGTATCTGGGATTTATTTATCTTCTATAATTGCAACTTTGTTGCCTTGAGCTGAGGCTTCAGCCGGCCAGGGCAGGTGGGAAGCTTGGCTTCCTCCATCGCCGGGGCAACCAAGCCTCCTGCTTGCTCCAGCTCCATGGCTGCCGGCTGCCATCTCGGTTGGGTTAATTTGCATATAGTTGCTCTGATTGGCTGGTGGGCGTGGCTTGGGGCGTAGCAGAGTTGCAGTCTATTTGCATGTTTCTCTTTTAGTAGATTAGATGTTACAGATATTGCCCTATAAGTTTCAGTATTATAAACTATTTATCTGACACATAGAAACTCTAGCCAGACTATGCTTTGATTTGTCTCTGAGATAGATGATACTCTTAGAGATTTATTCCAAAAACACATTTTTGGGGTCTGTGGTAGGATCATCAGATTTGGCCCAAGTCTTCTGTACTTCCTTAATTGCAATATACTCAGCCCCATTTTTTTTGGGTTGAAATGTGTTCTTGGAAACTGTCGGAAAGTTAAGCCTTTGCAGTGGTTCTCAACCTTCCTAATGCAGCAACCCTTTAATACAGTTCCTCATGTTGTGGTGACCCCCAATTTCCTTGTTACAAATTGAACATAATTAAAGCATAGTGATTAATCACAAAAACAATATGTAATTATATATGTGTTTTCCGATGGTCTTAGGCGACCCCTGTTAAAGGGTCGTTCGACCCCCCAAAGGGGTCGCGACCCACGGGTTAAGAACCGCTGCTTTAGAGACTTGCTTCTCCATGCCTTTTCAGAGGTCTAAAGCAGAGCCAGTAATTACCTTTTTTGGACACTAGATGGCTCTCATCATTCATCCACATGGCCAAGTGCTCCTATTTGCTTCCTCTTAAATGAAATACCTACTTTTTGGCAGCATAGCAGAACTACAGAGCTGCACAAAACAGCATCAGCAGTCTATTGATAACTCTTTTGAGTCACATCTGCTTCCCAAGAGGTCTGTGGCTGCCTGTCCCCAGAACCTTTAGGGCAAATCCTCGTGACCCTTTGTAACCAGCTACCCCTCACTCCATGCCATCCCCCACAATCCCTGCTCTAAATCAAAGACGAATGAAATGTGCCTAATGTGAAATTTAGCTGCATTTGAGGAAAACAAGTTTTTATGCACTAATTAAACTCAGTTTATCAGGACTCAAATTATTCCAGGACTTCAACCATTCTGCACAAATGGAAATTTACTTCACTGATGTTTTTAACTGGCTAGCACCTATATGACCTCATAATGAAATCTCTAAACTGAATATTTTGTATTTTCCTTCAGATCACTGTTTTTTGGAGACAGTTGATTGATCCAAGACTGATTGTTGAATCTTCGAGTAACAACACATCAAGCACAGAGCTTGCCTAAGACCTCTCCACCTTGTAGTGTATAAATGTCTTGTTTGTGAAAGTGACTATAACCTGAACTTTTAAAAAAAAGATTTGAAATTTGTATGCAGTTTTCTGCATAGGACAGAATATCTACCTCATCATTGAAAATAACATGAGTGTGTTGCTTTCTAGTCTTTTTTTTTTTCAGGTTTAATTTTAGTAACAAATTTTTTAAAAATGGCATTCCCTGTAGGCATTGTTACATACCAGTATGTATTGTTTCTTCTCTTTTTTATTTTATTTTTTGACCATCAAGTAGCCATTGTCAGAAGCAGTTTATAATATCAAGTATAAGAAAGTGCTGCACATCTTGTCTCAGTAAGTTTTATTAAGTAACATTTTAAAACATGAACGCATGTTACTTGACCTAATTTTTTACGTTTGAGTTGTTCTATTAAATGTGGAACCTCTTACAAATTTCAAGTATTTTATCCTTGTAATTGTCAAGAATTAACAAGTAGTTGGGTTTGTTGCAAGCAGTGAGTTAAGAAATCCTTTCACATTTTTCTCAACTTTAAAGTGGAGGGTTCCTAGAGCCCCATCTAGAGCAGGAAAATAAGACCTGCTGTCCGTGCCCGGAGAAGAGCTCCTGTGTCAGCTGGGTGAGAGGATTTACTCTGGGGCCAGACCAGGAATGTGTTATCTTGCTGCAAGATCCCGGCACCTGGCTGCATGTGCTGGAGTGAGGATCTTGAACAGAAACTTCCTTTCCTATTGCTGTTCCACACAAAGCTAAAAATGACTAAATATATACTGTGAAAATGCTTTCTTTTCATGAAAGATCAGATCCCTCCTTCAGCTTTGCAGATTTTTAAATAAAACCATATTGAACTAAATGTCCATGCTGAGTCATCACATCTAGTTGAGTATTGCAAATCTCGCCTTGTTTGTTTTTTAACAATGCAAGAGGTTAACTTTAACCTGGAACAAGAAGGGTTGCCTTGAGGGAAGAGTCCGGTGTTGCAAAGTTTGGTCAAACAGAGTCTGCTCTATCTGGGAGCTATCGGACCAGTGAAGCTGCTGTCCAATTTTAATAAGTATGGCACTGACGTGCATCAAAATGTGGTTACTGATTTGTGATAAGTGTTACTCCAGAATGATGGGATCTTGGCACTGGGATTCTTGTGTAGCATACTTTCCAGAGTTTGGGAAACAAGATTACTAGTAAATGCCAAAAGATACATGAACAAATGCCTTGGTTGTGGGCTCGATCCCCAGTGTGGGGTGTGCAGGTGTGCAGGAGACAGCCAATCGATGATTCTCTCTCATTGATGTTTCTCTCTCTCCCTCTTACTCCCTCTCTGAAATCAATAAAAATATATTTAATAATAATGCATGTGAAGCATTTAGCACAGGACCTGGCATGTAGTAAGTGCTTGATGAGATCTTATCATTTATTTATCTTCCCATTATGTGACTTGCCCAATATCCTACTCCATATTTTCGGCAGAACTTGCATCTCCTTAATTTATTTTCATCTGTTAGAAATTACTAATGTCATACTTTGTATTAGAGTTGCTGTGTTTAGACTTTTTAAAATTGTATTTATTTTTTTTAATTCTTTACTGTTTAAAGTATTACATATAGTATTACATGTCTCCTTTTTCCCTCATTGACCTCTCTCTGCCTCCACCCCTCCCGCTCCCCCACCCTTGGCCCCCCCCATAGACTTTCTTTAATTGTATCTTTAGGTAGGAAGAAATCAGCTCCTAATTCTCATTAGTCATGCTTTTATTCTAGAAGGCTTGAAGGTTCAGTATAGTTTTTACCCCGGGCTCTGGCCATGACCCCCACTTTGAAAGAGGTTATATTAAGATAGTGACTCAGGTGTTTTGTTTTTCAATTAACAGGAGGGAAAAATCATTCCAAAATGAACTGATAAGGGAGTAAAGGAAAATAAATACAATGAAATCCCAGAGAAAAGCATGTGGGGTGTAATGGGATTGGTGATTGGCCCTGTCCTCTGAAGGACACTCTACAGACAGACACTTTGTTAACTTTGCAGTGATGCAACCCCACTTGTTAAATGACTGGATTTGGGGGCACCATTTATAGCAGCAGTTCCCAACCCTTTGGACCTCACGGACCACCAGTGGTTCTTGGACCACTGTTTGGCGACTGCTGATCTATAGGGTTTTGGTAGGGTTTTACTACATGAATGTGGCTATAAGGTAATGTCTGATTTAAAAACAAAACATGCCTTGGCCAGGTAGCTCAGTTGGTTAGAGTGTTGTCCTAATGAGCCAAGGTTGTAGGTTCAATTCCTGGTCAGGGCACCTACAAGAATCAACCAATGAATGCTTAAATAAATGGAACAGCAGATCGATGTCTGTCTGTCTCTCTCAAATCAGTTTTTTTTTTTTTTAATGAGTAAAACGTTGAAAGGAAGTCAATCTAGAACTTTAGGTTCTTTGAAATTATCCATTGAAATGAAGATAAAATAAAGACATTTTGAGATAAAAGCTGAAAGAATTCATTGTCAGAAGGCCTGCACTACAGATTATGCTACAGTAAACTTGTATCCATAGGAAGGAATGAAGAGTACTGGGAATGGTAAATATGTGGAGGATATATCTCTTTTTATACACAACTATATTTTCTTTGAGGTAACTTTCAAGCAAATGTAATTATATATAGTAATACTGTTAAAAGGTAAACTAAGGCATATACATTTTTGAAGAGTTTATGTAAGCAAACTGATTGAAATCAGCCAGTGCAAAATCAGAAGTGGTTGGGGGGCTCTGACAGCAGGAGCGAGAGGAAAGCCTTTTATTATTGGGGCCAGGTGCAGGTGGAGGTGTCAGTGGGGGAACAAAAGGGATGTCTAACACTTTTAACAATAAAGGTAAATTTTGTAAAAGGAAAGTTTTATTATTGAATTGGCTATAGTGGAAGCAGTTTTCCTATTTAGGAAAGCCGAGTGCTGTTCTTTAGTTTTGCTTTCCTAACCTCGAGGTGTTTATAGGAAGTGATTCTGGCTTAGGTTTTGGCTTGCTCACGTCAGAGCCACCTCAGTCTGCTAACTTCCTTGCTTAATGATTTTCATAATAGTATGGGGTTTATTATGTATGTATATGTAAAATATATGAAAACAATAGCAAATGAGATGGTATATAAAATTTTAATATAATAAGATTCTCATGAATCATTAATGCAATATTAATTCTAAATAGACTGTGATAAGCTTAGGATGTATATTGTAATCCCTAGCACCACTAGAAATATAATAAAAAGAAGCATACATAGCCTGGCCGGCAGTGGCTTAGTGATTGAGCATGAACCTATGACCCAAGAGGTCATGGTTCGATTCCGTCAGGGCACATGCCTGGGTTACAGGCTGAATCTCCAGTAGGAGGCGTGCAGGAGGTAGTGGATCAAGGGTTCTCTCTCATCATTGATACTTCTCTCCCATTCCCTCCCTCTCTGAAATAAATAAAAATATATTTTAAAAAAAGTATAGATAAAAGGCCAATAACTGGAAATAAAAATGAAATGTATAATATATTTGATTAATCTAAAAGAGGATTAAAAAGAGGAATATAGGAACAAAAACTTACAGTTTTAAATGCGTATATTGGAAAAGAACAAAGTTTAACAGTAATGATCTAATATTCCAACAATATGCTTGAAAAAGAAGAGCAAATTAAACCAAAAGTAAATGGAAGGAAATAATAGGTAATAGAAGAAATCAACAACAAAAAAAACAGACAAATGACAGAAAATTAAAGACAAAAGCTGGTTCTTTGAAAAAATAATAAAAATCTATTAGGTGGATTAATCAGGAGAAAAATAAAATACAAATTACCTATATCAGGAATTTAAAGGTGTTATTGCTGCAGATTCTACTGACATTGAAAGAGTAATATGTTGAAATCTAAAAAACAAACAAGCAAACAAAACAAAAACATTCATATATACAGCAGACAAACTAATGGTTGCCAGATGGGCAGAGGTAGTGAGATGGGTGAAAAAGTGAAGAAGATTAAGAAGTTCAAATGCCAATTATAAAATGAGTCATTGGGATGTAATGTAAGAAGGAAATATAGTCAATAATTAACAACTATGTGAGGGGACAGATGGTTACTAGATTTATTGTGGTGATCACTTCATAAGGTATATAAATGTCTAATCACTATGCTGTATATCTGAAACTAATATAATATTGTATGTCAACTATAATTTAAAAGCAAATTTTAAAAAATTATTACAGGAAGAAAAGAAAGATTTCAGGTTGATGAATTCTTAGTTTCTACCAGGAAATTTATTAATAATGTCTTTTTTGGTTCTTTTTACAAATATAATAATATGATAAAAGTTATCCTGGGTAAAAAAAAAAAAAAAAAAAAGACAGCAAAAATGGTAGAGTAAGGACCTCTGAAAATTTTGCCTCCATAAAAGAAAACTAACAAAAATTGTCAGAATCAACTTTTTTGTAACTGTGAAAATTAGCGAAGACCTTGCAACAAACCAGGGAATGCTTATTCAAGAAAGTGGCTGAATTTTGGTAAGAACAGCAAGCTGTGGTGTTTCAACTTTCCTTATTTCATTACTCCAACCCCAGCTCTATGGTAGTCTTGAAAACCAACAGTCTGCAAACAACTCCAAGACCTTAGAAAACACTGGGAAACATACTGGCTTCTAGGCATTTAAGGAAATCTCTATCTGGTCATTAATTGTTCACTAGGCTAAGGGAGCAGAGACTCTATTAGCAACGTATGACAAAGAATACAGATTTCATGGAATTAAGTCGGAAAGTCTCTAAACAAAAGCAACAAACAGCCACAACAACAAACCCTGGGAACGGGGGAATTTGGTGTCCACAGTGCCACATTGTATTTTATTTTTTTATATATGTTTTTATTTCTGAGAGGAAGGGAGAGGGAGAGAGAGAGAAACATCGATGATGAAAGAGAATCATTGGTCAGCTGCCTCCTGCAAGCCCCACACTGGGGGATTGAGCCCACAATCCAAGCATGTACCCTGACCAGGAATCAAACCGTGACCTCCTGGTTCATAGGTCAATGCTCAACCACTGAGCCACACCAACTGGGCCACGTTGTATTATTTTACATATCAGGTTTTGAACAACAAATTATGATATAGAAACAAGAAAGAATGACCCATATGAGAAAAAGGAAATCAACAGAAATTGTCCTGAGGAAGTACAGGTATTGGATTTACATAGACAAAAACTTTAAATCAGCTATTTTAAATATGTTCAAAGAACTTTAGGAAACTATGTCTAAGGAAAGTAGGAGAATGATGTCTCTCTAAATAGAGACTATCAATACAAAGATAGAAATTATTTTTTTTTAAAGAACCAAATATAAATTCTGGAGTTGAAGTGTACAGTAACCGAAACAAAACATTCACAAGAGGAACTCAGCAGCAGATTTGAGCAGGCAGAAGAAAGAATCTGGCTAGAGGTCAATTGAGATGACCCAGTCTGTGAAACAGAAAAGGAACAAAAAATAAAATTTTTTAAAAAAGAAAAAAAGGAACAGAGCCTCAGAGACCTGTGGGACACCAACAAGCATACCAACATCACAGAGTTCCTACAGGAGAGGGGAGAGAGGGAGGGCAGAAAGAATATTTGAAGAAACAACAAAGGAATAAAAATAATGAGAAGGCAATAATGGAGAGAGAAGAACAGAAAAGATGTAAGGCAAAAATATATAGCAAATGGCAGATGTAAATCCTTATCAGTAATTTAATGTAAACATTCCAATTAAAAGGCAGAGATCGGTAGAATGCATTAAAAACATGATCTGACTATATGCTGTCTATAGAGCCACACTTAAGATGCAAAGCCACAAAGGAGCTGAAAAAAGGACGGAGCCTGGCCGGTGTGGCTCGGTTTGTGGGGCGTGGTCCCACACACCAAAAGTTTGCCCGTTTGATTCTGGTCAGGGCACATGCCCAGGTTGAGGACTCGATCCAGTAGGGAGTGTGCAGGAAGCAGCCGATCCATGTTTTATTCCTCTCCCGCCCCCCCTTTTCTCTCTCTCAAAATATCTTGAGAAAATAAAAGGATGGAAAAAGAGATGCCATGCAAGCAGTACGCAATAAGAAGATAGACCACATTCAGGTAATAAAACAAGTCTTCATAAATTTTAAAAGGTTGAATAATACAAAGCATATGCTTTAACCACAGTGGGATGAATTTAGCCTACCAGGTCTTAGTAATATCTACTGTGTGGAATTTGAAAAACATAAGATATTTGCCTCCCAGTAATTTTTACTGTCTAATCAGCCCTTCTAAGCATCTGGGAAACAAAAATCCACAAACATTCTTTTTGTTGTTAATCCTCACCCAAGGATATTTTTCCCATTGATTTTTAGAGAGAGTGGAAGGGAAGGGGGAAGACAAAGAGAGAGAAACATCAATGTGAGAGAGACACATCACTTGGTTGCTTCCCCCAGGCACCTTGACCTGGGCCGGGAATCAAACCTGCAATCGAGGTACATGCCCTTGACCAGAATTGAACCTGCGACCCTCCAGTCCACAGGCCGATGCTCTAACCACTGAGAAAAATTGACCTGGGCCATTTTTTAAACAATACATTGTAATGTTAACGTAAAAAAAAACCCACCATTGAAACCTGTAAAGAATTTTTGTGAGTTTATTTGAGCCAAACTGTCAACGTATGCTGGGAAGCAGAACCTCAACGAATTGAGAATGCTCCGGAGAATGGTGGGGTTATATTTGTATTTATACATTGCACTCAAAGGAGGGACGTAGGTGGGTTACATGGAATTCATTGGTGATAGATTAAGGAGGAGGGATAAGCAAAGCAGGGAAACCCCTGGGATTGGATAAAAAGTAAAATGATGGACACATACTTAGGTGGGTGCAGGAACAATTAACATGATGATGAAGGAATTTGTGATATCTGTCCTGGCGCCCAGCACATTTGGTTGTGCCCCAGGGGCTCCAGATAAAGGGAAGTCACAAGTTACCCAGACATTTCAAGGGTATGTTATCATAGATGCAAAAAGACAGATAGGCTCAGTTAAGGTAAAGGTTGACCTTGTCAGTGAAGATACTGGCCGAGGATATAACTGCCCACCATAACTGCTTTTAGTCAAAGTTTAATTTCAGACCATCCTTTGTGGTTACTTTAGGTCTCCGAGTTTGCAAGACCGCCATGCAGGCCTCCCCTGAGCTTGTCAGGTCAGCATGAGGTCCCTTTCATCCACAATAATGCTTAGAATTTTAATAAAGAAGATACATTTAAAAATTCATAACATGCAGACATAGACACAAAATGGAATAACATAACTCACATTTCATTAGCTTTTAACAACTTGATTTTAACTTTTGCAAAATTATAATCCCTGGGGCCTTAAGTGCTTTTTAAAATTAAACAAAGTGTGTATATGTACACAAAATTAAGACTGTCAGGTCATGCAGAACACTTGTCAAGAAAAATTATGACACAGTTTAACTTTACTCAGAGCTTCCTTGGTTTATAGTTGAACAGGTTGATAAAACTCTATGAAGTCTTAGCATTTTTAGCCTCCAGTGCTTGGAATAACCCATATTTTTAGCTTGTGCATCTATCTTACCTAAATAGGGCTAAAGTTAATGCAACAGGTAATCTTCTGTGGACTCCGCTTCGTTTTGCATGTCATTCAAGCCAACAAGATATTGTTGAGTGCCCTGGCTGGGTGGCCTGGTTAATTGGAGTGTCATCCCGAACATCAAGAGGTTGCGAGTTCGACTGCCGGTTAGGCCACATACCTAGGTTGTAGATATGGTCCCGGGTCAGGACAAGTAAGGGAGACAACTGATTGATGTTTCTCTCTCTCTGCCTTCCTCTCTCTAAACAAACAAACAAACAAACACCCCAAAACAAAAACCCAACCAGAACCTATCCTCGGGTGACGATTTTTTTAAAAAAAAGGATATTGTTGAGCTTCTTGTTAAATCTGGAGCCATGATGGATGCAGTTTCAATCAACAGCTCAACTCCTTTAAGTAGAACCATTGAGAGCTGAAGACGATACCATCAAATAATTGATATCGGTGCTAAAGTCCAGCTGCTCTGGATGTGGTGGTTTATGTGAGATCTGGAGTCTGGAAGCCACAATGGCAGAGCCAATCAGGAAGAGGGCGCTGCGGCGGGAGAGGCTCACTTAGAGGTGGGCTTCGAAGACTTGAGATGCCCTTTGAGAAGAACAGAGGAAGCTCAATCAAGCATTGGAAGCTGCGTTCAAGACCTGGTGGTGGGGGCTGGAGGAGCAGGCCGCCAGGAAGGTCAGGCTGAAAACTGATGGGCAAGAGATATCCAAGTGGAATTTCTTCTTTCCACAAACATTCTGGCATGAGTCAGCAGGCCGCCTCACCCACGAGAGCTAGGTCATAGGGATTTTATGCTGTGTATTTCCTGGCAACTGCCCCATCCCGCCCCTTGAGAGAGAGCATTTCATAGAAAATGCTTGCCTTCTGGAATCAGATAGTCTGAATGCCAATATCCACGGTGTCAGGTAAGTTATTTAGTGTCCCTACGCCTCAGTTTTCTCATCTGTAATGAGATAATTATACCTACCTCAAAGATTTGTGAGAATTAAATGAGATGCCATGTACATAAATCTTAATTTCCTACACACCTCATCTTCTGTCTTCCCCCTCCCTATGCCAACAACAACAATGTAGTATGAAAAAGAACAAGTGGACTCAAGGGGCGGTGGTGGAAGAGATGTAGGGGAACTAGGAATTAGAATGTTGAGTAAGCAATCCTGAGCTAGAATCCCAGTCCTATTTTATATAAAATTCATGACCCTCACCTGTAAAACGGATATAAGAACTTCTGTCTTGTAGGGTTTAGAAAGTCTAGAAGAGATTATAAGGATTTTAGAAACTAACATATGTGACTTTCCTACCACACAGTATGTGCCCCATAAGTGGTATGTATTATTTTAGCAGTAGTCTATGACATTGACCTTTTATTTTTGCTGCCCACCCTGTCTCCAATGCGAATTCCAGCTAACTCCTCTTTAAACACGGTCTTTCTCTTTGCCCCCCATCCCTTCTCTGGAACACTTCTTGCCTCCTGTACACCCACTTTTCCTACTCCCTGGCCAGAGGGGAAGAACAGAGCTAGAAGAATGGAACTAAATCTAAGCAAACAATTTTGAAAAAAAAAATGTTTAAGTTCCAACATTACTGTTATCTGAGTATATGTGAGAGAAAAACCTTTCTTAAACTGGGATGTCTCCAAACCAGCCGTGGGCAAACTACAGCCAGCGGGCCGGATCCGGCCAGTTTGAAGTGAATAAAACTATTGAAAAAAAAAGACTGTACCCTTTTATGTAATGATGTTTACTTTGAATTTATATTAGTTCACACAAACACTCCATCCATGCTTTTGTTCCGGCCCTCCGGTCCAGTTTAAGAACCCATTGTGGCCCTCGAGTCAGAAAGTTTGCCCACCCCTGCTCCAAACCCTAGTTAAGTAGAACTGGAAGTTAAAAAAAAATCATGTTAATCGCGGTGGTAAGGAAAGAAATCACCCAGTTTAAGCATGAGTGTGTGAGTATGGGCTCCAGCCTTCAGGGACCCAACGAAGAAATGCAAAGCACGGGACCAGGGAAGAGGAAGGAAGGATTAAAAAAAAAAAAAAAAAAAAGGAAAAGGGGCAGTCGTTTAACTGTTCCTACAGTTATTTTTTTAAGTCCGGTCCTGATAAGCCCCCTCGCTCGCGCAGCGCTGGGGACGTCGCGGGTCCAGGTAGGTTTTTGTAGGAAAGACCTCGTGGCGAGCGCGCTCCTGCAGAAGCCGGACTAGATCTGGGCTGGGCTCCCGCGCCCCGGGGTCTCC